TCATAAGCCCCAATTAGGATCCCTTGTAGAGTACTTATAAGTTCACTTATTTCCTACTGACTAAGTCCTCTGACCCTCCAAGTAGCAACCCCAGCTTCCTCAATGAAAAATGGGCCCAACAACCCGGAGAATCGCACTGCCGGGTTTCGACCTGATTCTGATGAAAGAGGTACGCTGGCACACATTTGGGGGTTTCCGAAAATAAGGTACCATATTCTGCGGTCCTTATAATGAGGATCCTACTATTTAGGGTACTATATTAGGGTCCCCTATTTTCGGAAACACCCATTTCATGTTGCTGTTGGAGCTCTGGTTAACGTTGTGAATGCTGCGGAGAATGAGGATGATAATTACATCGGTCGAGGCCATAGTTGGGACGAAGTTGATGATACGAAGGAATGGAATTGATGAGGACCCATGATGATACCGGTGACACGACGGCGGACAGTAGACAGTGGACATGGAGATGAAACTGCTACAGAAATTACCATGGATGTTGCTCTGACCGTGGCTTTAGGCTGCAAGCGCAGACGCTGTACTTGTTGCTGTCGGTTTGGTTTCAAAACTGCGGAGCTCCCTACCCGCGCAGCCTTGCCAGTTGTTCAAGAGTGGAATGCTGAGTGCTGTCTCGTCCAGTTTATCGTTGCAGCTCGGGAGTACACCCAACACGCCTGCTTCTTCCAGACTTAAGCCCACGACTATAAATCCCATATGGGTGGTTGTCAAAATTAGGGTCCTGTTTATAAGGGTGCCGTATGGGAGGCCAGATTCTCCAGAACCTCCTTTGACAAAGCATCCATAGAGCTATATTGGGGACCTAAAAAGGGACCCTAATTTAGAGAACTACCCACATCGCAACCCAAAGTGTGCAAACCCCGAAATTAGGGGACCCTAATATATAGGACCCTAAATAGTAGGATCCTTATTATAAGCACCCCAAGATAAGGTACCCCTAATTTTCGGAAACTCCCACATCGCAACCCAAAGTGTGCAGACCCCGCCAACACGCTGAAGCCGGTCAGCTCTGGGATCCTGGCACCGATTGGTCGCCCAGGCAGACGAGGTGATCCTCAGCAAGGGAACTTGGAGGCCCAGGCGACTTAGTAAGTAGGTTATAAGTAGAGTTATAAGTACCTAAATGGAGTTACCCTAATTATAGCCTTACTTATAGCCGACTTACTAATTCTCCTGGGCCTCTAAGAATGTCCCACACACACCGCAAAGGTCGGCCCTGGTGGACATCGTCGTAGCTTCGGCTTCTTGCGACGATTGTGAAGGCCCAGATGATAAGACAAGACTGATGCATCTTTGCCGGTTTCAGGGTTCTGTTGAGACTCAGCCGATTTCGGATCGCTCAAAGGGCCTGGAAGCATGACGAACCAGACCCTGCTTCTGGTTTCAATTTCCGGTGCTATGACCAGTAGCAGTAACGTCTATTTCCGGTATCGACTCTAGGCACCAAGGCCAATAGATCCTTTAAAGGAATCCTTAAAGGAACCCTTCTAGATCCCTTAAAGGCAGGCTTAAAGACACCCTTTATAACGGTACCTTTTTCTGTGCCCAGTAGCACCGGGTCGGACGCCGCTCCTTGGAACGGTCTGGCCGTAGCTACCCTTTAAGGGGTTCCTTTCAAGGGGGCCCACGATGAGGCTTTACGGGGAGTAGGGGTTGAGGATGGTTTAAGTTAGGCGCAAATCCGCAGTTTTCGATTTGGGGCTGCTTGGAAGTTCATGGGTAGTTATAAGTATGGTTATAAGTCCCCTAACATGGGTTATAATTATAGTTACCCTACTTATAACCTCATTTGTAACTACCCCTGAACCTCCAAGTGTGGCTCCAGAGGGTCCAAGCTGTCCGGGCCAGGCTTACGCAGCCTGCAAGTTCGGGGACTGCGAGAGACAAGTAAGCAAGGGGCCTCAGACCAAGATAAGTGAAGGTGCTTAATAGGAAAAGCGGGGGAATTAAACTTCACCGCCATGCATGCTTGCAGGTCATAGTCAAAATATATGAGCGCCATAGTTATCAGCATTGTGACGTCTCTTGCCGCGCGCGTGCGATTCGCGGTATTCTCAAGGCATTCCCTGTACCCGAGACCCGGGTCAGGGCTTCGGGTTGAGCTCATTGAGCTCCTTATGGACTTTGTATTGAGCTTGCTGTGCGGTTTGGGGTATTAGGGTTGCGGGGCTTACAGGGCTGGCTGGTTTTCTGGTAATTGGCTTGCAATGCATCAACTGCACCCAACGCTTTGCCTGTCGGGGTAAATGGCAATTTCAGAACAAGGGGGTGAGGGCTTCCGGCTTCCTTATTTCATGTTCCACATGATCAGAGATGAGAGTGAACCATCTTTTCCTGAATAAACTGCTGTAGGGGCCTTAATAATTAGAATAGGGTTTTGGGCTCCTCTATTATCTACTTAGGGTTGACGCGGGTCTAGGATTATGGGACTTAGTAGCTTCTGTTTATGAGTGGAACTGCCCTGAGTGGATAGTTATCTTAGTTTCAGCATACTCCAGATGCTTGAAAAGTCCACCGAGCCCTCAAGGAACAGACCCAAAAAGGCTCCCTTAACCCAAAGACACCACAAATCCTGAACCCTAAACCCTAAGAATTCTACCCGAAACCCTAAACCCTAATCCCTAAACCCTCAAGAGGGTTTTGGGGCCCATTATACTATAAATATAATAGGGAACCTCCAAAATAGTATTGGTAATCATTTAGGCCCCCATATTACCCTAAACTAGAAACCCTAAACCCTAATCCCTAAACCCGAAACTAGAAAGGGCTCCCAAACATGATCCGCCTAGGGCATCCAGGGCGCTCGTCGGCCCAGCTGCCCAGCTTCACGGCAAGAGCCCGGCAAGGTCCCTCAGCTTTGCTCAAACACTGTACTACTGTTAGGGTTTAGGGTTTAGGGTTTTAGGGTTTAGGGTTTAGGGTTTTAGGGTTTAGGGTTTTAGGGTTTAGGGTTTTAGGGTCTGGGGGTACTACTGTTGATGATAGAAATCCTGCATAACCTTAAGGACCCTAGACTATGGGAATTATGAGTATATTCCTTATCATGGGTAATGCAGGATTTGTATCATCAACCGTACTACAGATGAGGTTCGGAGTTCAGGGTTCAGGGTTTAGGGCTAGGGACGGGGGAGGGGTTTAGCCACCGGATTCGTAATGCCTCGGGTTTGGGGTTGTAAGGTCAGGGTTTACTGACAGGATCATGGGACTTAGTAACTGAGGTTATAAACTAGGTAACTATACTTATAACCCCAATTAGGATACTTATAACCCCACTTACTAAGTCCCAAGATCCTCCAAGTAAGGTCATGGTGTTGAGCTAAAATAGGGCCAAAAAGTTCTTGGTGAACTATGTCGGCCCTTGTTTTAGCGTTTCTTCGGGTCGTGTTGAGGGTTTGGCGCGCCATGCTTAGAGGCCCCTGGGACTCAACTAGCACACTCCACTCGGCAGTAGCGGCACTTGAGCTGCGTTTTCCTGCCTATGCCCTAATCTATAATCCCAATCCTCCTTCAAGGTAATGTAGGGGCCTTAATTAGAATAGGGTTTTGGGGGTTCCTTACTATAGTTCCAGTATAATATACCCCTAAACCCGATTCTAACTTTTTAGGCCCCTATATTAAACAACGAAATTTTGTTCGTTGAGAAAGAGCACAACAGGAGAATGAAGCACAGACTCGTCACGATGTGCCCCGATCCGTCAAGCAGCTTTGGGGCAACCAAGCCAAACTGAACGATCCGATCGGAGGCGAAGACAATCATTCCAGGCTTGTGGGCATAGTTTGGCGCACTTTGCTCGGGTTTTTTCCGGTTTCAGGGGTTGAGGGCACTCCTAAACCCTAGACCCTAAACCCTAAACCCCAGGTTAAGGAAACACTCCGGAGCGAGGCATCGCACGCAGGTCTAGCCCTACGCAGCCGTTCTTCGTCTCCGCCGCAAGACAAAGTTCATGGAAATCTGCAAAACAACAACCCGCGTGCGACCCTAAGTGGGATCCCGCTGAGGCTACTAGCCTCAGGGGCTGAGTACCCTAGCCCAAATCGACACTGACCTTTTCAAGTATAGTGGGATTCATAGAAGCTCCCAAAGGTGAACAAACGCGAGATAAGCTGCATTTCTAGCCGAAGGCGTGAGACGAGAATCGCCCCCAAACGGCTAAAGGCTACTTACTCAGCCCCGAAGTAACTGTAGGGTTTGGGGCTTAGGGAACTACTCATTACCTACTTGCTACGTTCCCCGACCCTCCAAAGTAAGGCGCCAAAACCTCCGAAGCCCAGCATGCGGACGTGCGGCGCCGGGGTCGGCGACGTGCAGGCGGAGGCCCCAACCTGAACCTTAGGGTGTTTGAGGGTTCTTGGGATCCCTAAACCCTAAACCCTTTAGGCTTTTTGAGTGTGGGTTTAGGGTGGCCTTTTTTTTTTGAAGATTTCTTCGGGCATTTAGGGTTTTGGGAAGCTTTTCGTGCCTCTGGGGTGGGGGCGCTCGAGGTCTGAACTCGGAAAGAAAGTGTGGGTCGATGCAAGGAAAATCAGTGAGGCAAGGGAAGGATTTAGGGTGTAGGGCCCTAAACCCTAAACCCTAAGCAAACCCGAAACCCTAAACTCTAGGGTTTAGGGAAGGCTCATGAGCGAGGGAAGGGAAGGGTTCAGGATTTTGGGTGCGGGTGGGTGCAGCAAGTGAAGACAGTGCCATGCTGGTAATCGGCTATATTCTGCAGGAATGTAGGGGCCTTAATAATGAGAATAGGGGGAGATACGTCATATGACTTCTCTCTCTCTATCGCAAAAACCGCACGAGTCTTATGCGTGGTAGAGCCCGGCTGGAAGGCAGTTCTGCGGGACCCGTGGAGATTCAGCTATTTGCAAAGTCCCATGCGCCAGATTTTTTCCAGAGCCCGCATGCTGACTGCGCCCGTTCGAAAGTTCAGAAAAGCCAGCATGCATGGACTTCACATCGATCGGGGCACACCCGTCTCCTGCTTCATTTTGGATCACTTTGGCTGGGTGGGTGCCTGGCCACCACATTGAGCCTCGAACTCAAGCAAAGCCTCAATGAAGTAATCCCGGCGTTTGGCCCAGTATTCCTGTCCAGCGCGTGCCTTGAGGACGTGCTCGATTGCCTCTTCGGTGCTCATCGAAAGCGAGATGAGTGCAGCAACCAACGCCGCTGTGGAGCGGTTGATGCCAGCATAGCAGTGGAAGAGAATCTGAACCTGTGGGGGCCTTAATAATTCGAATAGGGGGTTTCGGGGTGAATTATAATAAGGGACCCCCCCAGAATACTAATTATTGGTAATTATCTAAGGCCCTTCCTTAGCAGTGGAAGAGAATCTGCACCTGCTCCTCCGATTCCGAGGTGTTCTGCTGCAAGGCTTGAACCACTGCTGCCCAGATCTTCAGAAACTCCTCCTTGCTTGGAGGGTCGGGGGACTTAATAACTACATTTTTATAGACTTATAAGTATCATAACCCCAATTAGGATCCCGTTTAGCGGACTTATAAGTCTACTTATGACCTACTTACTAAGTCCCCCGACCCTCCAAGTGCAGGTGCATGGGAAGCCAAGCCCCTTACTCTTTAAAAGTCGGGGCATTTAGGGTCTAGAGAATCGCGCGCAAATAGTTTATATACTCTAGTACTCATTAGGAAGGCCATGATATGGGACTTTCCGATAATTAGGGGTACCTTACTTTGGGGTCCTTATAATAAGGATCCTATTATTTAAGGGTACTATATTAGGGTCCCCTATTTTCGGAAAACCCCCATATGCCAAAAGCACTACCAGTAACTCGGAAGTCCGAAAGCCTCCACCCCTACAGCCTAAATCAACAAAAATCCCATCGAAGCTCCGAATTCCTAATATATGATAGAAAATACTATGATGTACTCTAAACTATAACCCTCTAAGATACTTTAATATACCTCCAATATACCTCTCAACCCTAAGCGCAGGGAAGCCGAAACCCCAAATTATCCCTAAAACTTTTTCGGCTTCGCCGTTCAGGCACGTCCCAATGCCACACTTGGCGTTTTTGGGAGTTTCTCAGGCTGAAACCATGGACCCCTAGTATGGGCCCTTCACCCTGGGATCCTTCTACACCTACTGTATACCCTACATGTACCCTTAGGGGTCCCTAGAAAGGCCTAGGGGTCCACATCAGGGGCCCTTCTGACGTTAGAGAGTTTCGAACGATAAAGGGTCCAAGTATGAGGAGTTTTTAGGTCCTAAACCCTAAACCCTAAGACCCCAAAACCCTAAACCCTAAAAGCCTAAAGCCTGTTTAGGGTTTAGGGCCTACACCCTTTTGCTTCTCTTCTGTGGGCTTTCGAGCCGCTACGGTCGGCTTCATTTTAAGGTTTAGGGCCAGTTGGGTTTAGGAGGGTTTAGGGTTTACTGTTTAGGAGGGTTTAGGGTCTAGGGTTTGGGATTTAAGTTTTGCTGGCCCTGGGCTTCATAAGGTGCTGGTATAGGGGCTTTGGGGAATAGAACACTGTTGTGAAGTATATTTCGAGCAGTCTTCAGGAATATCACTGGTAATTGCTTATGCATCTACAGTAGGGTGTAGGGCTCAGGGATCCACCGACAAGTCCAAACTTCTTTCAAGACAGCTGCCGGACCAAACTGTTCAATATAGAGACCTTAATAATTAGAATGGGGTTTAGGGGGTATATTTTGCTAGAGTTATAACAAGGAACCTGCAAAACAGTTTCGGTAATTGTTTACGCCCCTATATTTTTGCAGGGCTTAGGCACCCCGAAACCCAAATCCCTGTTGATGGACAACTCCTGCATTACCCCAAGTACTGCTATTCTCCTAAACCCCCTAAGCCTGTCGCCTCAAATCTTAGACTGTCTGACGCCAGCTCTTTAGACGCTCGACCTCTGCAACCCATCAGATCCTTCAAACGTTTCTTGTGGAGAAAGCAGGGCTGTGTCCATCAATCGATACGTCCCACGAACCAACTCCAGTCTCCTATGCCCTTAACCCCAAACGCTAAACCCCAAAC